CTTTCATTTTGAAAAAAATCGAAAATTGACAAAAATTCGAAAGTTGAATTTGAAATGGAAAAGGTTGAATTTGACTTGGAAAAAGTTGAATTTGAAATGGAAAAGGTTTAATTTGACTTGGAAAAGGTTGAATTTGATTTGGAAAAGGTTGAAATTGACTTGGAAATGCTATATATATATATATATATATATGTATATACAAATAAAGTGTGTATATAAGTAAGACAAATTAAAATAAGCAAATAATAAAAGCAATAGCAAACAAATTGTTGTTCTGTTTAAATGTTTGAGAGTGAAATGTATTTTAATATCAATATGATGTAATTAATCAATTAAAATGATTAATTAATAGAAAAAATAAACTTTTCTTTTAATTAAACATTTTAATGTTCAACTATCCCATAAATATACGCTTTATCTACAAAATTTCTAAGAATGTAATGCCTTTAAGCTTCATCCTACAATAAATCAAGAAATGCACCTGCGGTTTTACTGCTCTTAGAAAACATCTGTTAGGTGCAATATATAAAATACGTGTTAGGTAATGTATATAAAACATCTATTAGGTGCAATATATTAAACATGTCCTTCCCTTGCCGTAAAGCGGCCTCAGACAATCGATATAGCAAGCTAACTGTAAAGCATTCTTATATATAGAGCTGTAGTAGTCATATCTATATTTTACACAGTCCCAGAAGGCAAAAGGAAGAATGGATTAGGATCTCGATCAGTGTGTCCCAACTGGAAAGAAATTTTGTTGCGTAATGTGTCATGGTTCGTTAAAACTAGATATCTCAGGGATTCCGGTGCATGAAGCAGTGCCGCGGATTGCTTTCTTACTTTCTTACTACATCAGCGTATGTAAATTATCTTTATTTATTCATCTATGATCTGATACATTGTGATTCTATTTGTTAGTAATTTATTTATTGTTTTCTGAATAATAAAATCACTTTCAATAACATCAAAATTAAATAGCCGAGAGTATCTGTATAATTACTGGCTTGGAGTCCTTGAGGAGGCCCAGGTCCTAGCAATAAGTAAGTATCTTTATAATACAGAAAATCTGAAAAATCGTATAATTCAGATAGGCGAAGATGAATGCGAGTTGGGAGACCTCTCGGAAGATAAGTTGATAGATTTAAATATACATGCAGTATTACCCACCAAATCCGATATTAAGAATCCTATGAGACTAATAGACAAATCTGGTGTTTATATAGAAGTTACGAAAGTTGGTATTCGAAAAGATGTAGTTAAAATGAGGTTCTGAACAACTGTAGTTAAAAAGAGGTTTCAAACAATTGGTATTCGAAAAGAGGTTTCACACAACTGGTTTTTGTAAAGGCAATCCTACGAAATGTAGTTTAAGAATGGTTCCGAACAACTGCTGTTGTAAAGTGGTTTCAACGATGACAGATATCGCGATAGTTGCAGCCACTATAGTGACTGTTGCAACCGCGTACATCGTGTAAACTGTGTGACATTGAGTGTCGTGGTTAGCACGAGTCGATCTACGGAAGAGGGAGGGGGAAGAGCTTTCGGGCTGAAACTCCCCACTACCCAAAATGATAAAACATAATTATATCTTATGAAAGAAATATTATAAAATTATCTCTAAAAGTATTACAGTTTGTGTAATTAAATTTAATAGGACTTCAAGAATAGCTTAAACGCCATTTCATATAGGTACTTAGTTTCTTACTTCTTCCAAAGTAAGAATCGCTATATAGTCAAAAAAAAACTTTCGGGATGAATCTCTCCCCAAAATTAAGTTCTGGATCCGCTAGTGGTGGTTAGGTTTTCGTAGAGGTACTTCTATTCACCTAATAGGAGAAGGAGTAAAAACCATAATTTTACTTTCACACACCTATATATGTAATATATAATAAGAGTAAGTATTGGAGATCGGCAGGCGAATTGAGAATCGAATCAAAATGTCGATTCCTCTGAAGGAATCGATCTTTCAAGCAATTCACATGAAAGAATCACGATCCACCCGCAATTCAATTCAATAAGTATTATTAAAAATAAAAGTAAAGAGAAAAAACAACTCTCTACATAAATAAATAAACCAAAAAGAACAAATACATAAACAAAATTAAAATGTTAAATTAAATATTTACATAATAATAGGCAATAAAATAAAAAGTACAGGAGAGAAAAAAAACTGTACATCTATAAATAAAAGAAATAATAATAAATAAATAATAAAAAGGCTTAGCGAACCCGAAGGTTCGATGCCGACACCACCAATCGCTTATTACACACCTCCCTCCACCGTTCGCCGTTCAAACCCAGTCCCTTCAGATCAGCTTTAATGCAATTTTCCCACCTTCGCTTCGGTCTACCCCTCGGACGCTTACCATTCGGCACAGCAAATATTAACCTTTTAGGAATTCTCTCGTTACTAAGTCCAACAACTTTACAAGCTCATTTGATTCGCCGTGATGAAATTATCTCAATTATATTACTCGGATACAGTTCACGCAATTCGGCGTTGTGTAACCGTCTGAACTCTCCGGTTAACTCATCCTTCTTCGGTCCAAATATTCTACGCAATAGTTTATTTTCAAAAACCTTAAGACGCTGCTCATCCCTTAATGTAAGCGGCCAAGTTTCGCACCCATAAAGAACTGTAGGCAAGATAATTGTTTTATAGATTCTAATTTTTAAGTTTCGGAACAAAAGGCGCGAACTAAGTAGTTTTGTCACAGAAAAATAACAAGCATTCCCCGCCTTCAGTCTAACCTTAATCTCTTCTTCAATTTCGTTTTTTCTAGTTATCGTAGAACTTAAATACCTGAAGTTATCTATCTGCTCAAACATATTACCATCTATATCGATATCACCAGTAGTATCGCCATTTTTGCAGCTAACCATATATTTTGTTTTATCCACGTTTATTTCGAGTCCTAGTTCTTTACCGGCTTTCATTAACGTTGTCGTATTTAGTTTTATAGTTTCAAGGTCTTCGCTTAACAGTACCAGATCATCAGCATAGCCCAGCACGGATGTTGTCCCACCCAGATCCAACCCTTTCCCGGTACGCATTACTTCCCTAATGGCATGTTCTAATGCCAAATTGAACAGTACAGGCGAAAGGGAATCCCCTTGTTTTAAACCCGAACGAACCTCAAATTTTTCGGACAGATTATTGCCGATTCTAACTTTATTAAGTGTCTCCGTCAAGCACATCCTGACTAGATTTACTAATTTTTTAGGAATCCCCTGCTCGATTAGAATATTATACTGTTTCTGGCTGTCAATAGAATCGTAATCATTTTTAAAATCTATATACAGCTGGTGAACAATACCGTTGTACTCCAATTTTTTCTCTAATATTTGCCGTGAACAAAATATTTGATCAATATTCGAACGATTCCGTCTAAATCCGCATTGGTAGTCTCCGATAATTTCCTCGGCGTATTCCGTGATTCGACTGGTTAAGATTAAAGTAAATATTTTATAACATACCGGAAGGAGTGAAATTCCTCGATAGTTATTACAATCCGTCCTCGGACCCTTTTTGTGAATCGGAATAAGAATAGATTCTTTCCATTCTTCAGGTAATTTCTCATTCACCCAGATCTTTTTAACCAACCGATGTATTTTAGAAACTCCAGCTTCCCCGCATGCCTTAATTAGTTCAGTAGGAATATTGTCGGTTCCCGCTGCTTTATAAGATTTTAATTTTCCGATAGCTAATTCAACTTCCTCTTTACTCGGTCCTTCTATCAACGGTTCAGCACTCTGGTACTCAGAAGGAGGACACAGATCATAATTTCCCGTATTTAAAATATTGTCAAAGTGGTCCTTAAATTTATTCAATATGTCAACCGGATCGGTCAGAATATTGTTATTATCATCCCTAATTCCAGATGTTACGGACCCTACACATTTACGTGATCTGTTTATACCTTTGTACATGTCTCTTACGTTATTTTCGATTTTATTAGTTTCTATTTCAATTATTTTATTTTTAAAATACTCCCTTTTTTTATTTTTGAGCAATTTTGTCGTTTCGTTCTTTGAGGTTCGGAAGTATTCCAGATTGTCTTCGCTAGGATTATTTAGAGCTTTTAATTTAGCGGCTTTTCGTTTTTCGCTTATGTTTAAGCATATCTTCATCGCATATCTTCATCAAACCACGGTTTGTTATTCTTATTTTCTTTTTTTCCTAGACACGAGTTACCGACCGCTTTAATATTATCCCTGATATCTACCCATAACTTGTCAATATCCTCGTGGTCCTCGTCAGGAAGCTCTAAAGCTTCAAACCTATTCTTAACATCTAGCTCGAATCTGGTTCTAATTGATGGATTTTTTAATTTGTCCAAATTAAAATTCTCAAAATCAAAACGGTTTTCTTTTCTCTTTTTTATATTAAGTTTTTGTCGAAGTTTCGCGATTACTAATTCATGATCCGACCCACATTCTGCTCCGCGATAAGACCGTACATTAATTATACTGCTTTGCCAGCTATGTTGTATCAACACATGATCGATTTGATTTCGTGTTTGCGAATCCGGTGATGTCCAAGTATATTTATGAATATCCTTATGTTTAAACGTCGTACTTTTAATTATCAGGTTTTTCGAGATGGCAAAGTTTATCAGACGGATCCCATTATCATTACTATATTCGTGCAAACTTTCTTTACCAATCGTCGGAATATAAACTTCTTCCCTTCCTACCTTTGCGTTCGCGTCACCTATAATTATTTTCATGTAGTTTCGCGGTAGTTTATCATAAACCCATTCGATAAAATGAACAAAATAGTGATATAAATAAGCATAAGTTATGTATGATGAGTCTGTGACAGAGAAGGTCCATGTTATATTCTCCTCTGATGTAGTATTTATCATCCGCTTGAGTCGAAAATTGTCGCGAATGTCGTGAGAAGGGGTTGTGAGTGTGGTGTAAAATTGGAAGACAATCTAACGAGTATCTTCGGAATAAATCGAAGGTAAAGGAGGCTGTTCATTGCCGCTGCTTACCTACCGCAAGGAATAGGCCCGTAGCTCCCCAGCAGCAGGGCCTAAGTCACTGTCACTGTCACTGTCAGCTGTCACTGTCACTGTCAGCTGTCGCCGATCTGGCGCTGTCGACCCGATGACTGTCATAGAATGAGCCTTGCTTCTTTTTTAGCGAAAAATACCAAATATCGTTATAACGATATTCCGTTCGCTGGATGTATACACGCTAGTGATTAATTGTGGTATTGTATTTTTTTTTTTCGTTAAGAATGCATCTTCTTTTATAGCTATGAATATGTATTTGCTTAAACAGAGTATAGACGCACACCCACAAAGACACACACACACACACACACACACACACACACACACACACACACACATATGTATATAATTCTTTATAATTGTGGTTTATTTTTATTTATTTTTTTTTTTGGTGGGGGATACAGTATTTATTATTTAGCCTATGAATGTGTTTAAAATCTATTTATTTGATTTAACTTCTTGAAATTTGCTAATTCATATATATGTTTAAATATTTTTAATCTATCCATTAAATTTTTACCATGCAACATTATTCAACTCGTGCATATATTTTTAAACAATTTTAATATATTTAATTAATTTTAACCTACTGATATTATTTTATTTGTATATATATTTTCAATCTATTTATTTTATTTTAACTTAATAAAATTATTTTTTCTATGTATATATTTTTTAATTTTTTTATTTAATTTTAACCTATTAACATTATTTTATCTATGTATATATTTTGTAATTAATTTATTCATTCATTTTTAACTTATAATAATACTTTTAACTTATTTTCTATTTTATAATATAGGTTATAACTGAATTGTAAAGATAAAATAGATATGGAGGCAAATCCAAATAATTCTAAGAGATTCGATCTAGGTCTGAGAGGATGAGTTCTGAGATCAGGAGGCCCAGTCCAAGAAGCAGTAGTGCCCCTTCCCCTTGATGTCTGTGGAGGCCGCGGGAAGCAGCGAAAAAAAGTTGGTGAAGGTGGAGTGGCAGGGCGAAAACGGCTAAGTATTGGGCTAATCAGTATCAATAGAGGATGTGTTTCCTAGTCTGCCCAACCCACCGCGGTCAACGGAACAGCCTAGTGGTAAGATAAAAGAGAGGAAACGAGACCCTTAGAGGTGTACGACGAAATATGCTCCATTCGTGGGCTGAGTTTCAAGGATGATAGAGGTTTCAAAACCCATATAGCTAAGAAACATCCCAGGGATATAACTTCAGAATCAGGGGCTAAGTTAGTAATAAAGAAGGTGAAAAAAAATTGAAGAGGGACCAAATGGTCGGCTAACTACCAGAAATTTGTTCGACAAAATAAGGTGATTAACGTGGAATTCGACGAAGCAGTGGTTCTAAAAACCACCAATGAAGAATTGCCTGGCCCACAACACCCTGCCGTCAAATTTTATAACCTAAGGGCCGTTTCACACTAAAGATGCAAGACGCAGAATGTTTGATGTTGCATCCTGGATGTATCTTAACATTGGACTGTGTAATAGAAGAAGAGCCTTCACACCGAAGATGCAAGTGCCTCCTCGGAGCCTGGATGGAGACCAGCCGACTGGAGATGTCTTTGTTGTGCTGGTCTTCCGCACTCACCCCTTCCACTTCGTCCCGCCCAAAGTAGAATATTCTTGAGGAGCAATCATCGGTTACGGTCGGCTTACACCGGTCTACCCTCTCACTTCTCAATTTTCTCTAAGCTCTTGTGATTAATTACATTTTTATTTTCAATTATTGTTTTCTTTTTTTATCCATTGTTAAATTTATTTTTAACTAAATTTTTTTTAACAATTGCTCTGATTTTCAATGACTGCTACATATTTGTTTACCTATTTTTCTTATTATTACAATGGAAGATTAATAATTGTATGCCAAAATTGCAATAAATCATATAGTGAACTTAATCATCCATTTGTTTGATCAACGTTTTACATCCTATCTCATCCATTTTTAAGGCCTGCTAGTTGATTAATATTTACTATTCATTTTGATTTTTTACTATTCACTGATTATTCATCTTTCAAAGGCACGTGCATCCTTGGTGTGAAAGCTCTTTTGTCAAGATGCAAGACGCACATGCATCTTGCATATTGCATCTTCAGTGTGAAAGGGGCCTAAAAAAAGGGAAGAAAAAATGAAACTGATATGGCTGGCGAGGGTACTGGAACAGTGTCCAATCCACAGAGGGCCAACAAGGCGGATAGGAGTCGTCGGCAAGAACAATGTCAATATGAGGTAGCCCAGTATAATTATTATAACAGAAGGAAGAGAGTGGTGCGGATTATGGACCCAATGCCATGCAACGCCCCCTGAGGGTAGCCGATATTGAAGGTAGAAGTTTTAACTATTAATTTGAATTCGGGCAGTAATAGCCAACATATGATAGGGGGGGAGGGAAGACGGTTTGGAAATGTATGGCGGAACCTCGGGGGTGTAGAGGGACGCTTAGTAATTGTGGATGAAACAAATTTTATTTCTGTGTGAAATAATTTAGTTTTACGGCGTGCGCTGGATTTTCCTTTTTCTCCTCGAGGAACCCGTGATTATCAAGTTCTGCTTGATTTTACAATTGGCGAATAAACATGTTCACAACTTGGAGAAGTGGACCAAGGACGCTAGCTCGAATAACTTCAACTTGACGCTTCCTCAGCTGACTCAGTGTGCAAATAGGACAAAGTACACCATTGAGATTTTGTAAATATGAGTTTGATATGTATATATAAGTTTCTTTAACTATATATTTTTTTAAATAATCAGTAAATTGTATAATCGTAGGTTAATGCTTAGTTTCTTATACTTTTCTTTGATAACTAAAGTTTATTATACTTTTTTTTGCTTTCTGATAAATCTAATTTCTTGTTTATAATTTTAATTTCCTTAACTTCCTTAACTGTTATTTAAGTCAATAGAAATGAGTAAATTCATCATCAGTATTAATAAATAAACAGTTTTATTTTCTTCTTTTTATTCTGTGTGTTTTCAGGTTTTGTGTATATATTAAGTTTTTTTGTTTTTTTAAAGATTTAATAGGGAATTGTAAACTCTATTCTAGGGATTAGGAAAAATCAATATTAATACCAAGTAAGAAGGTTCGATATGCTACAAGGTTAATTAACATATCTTTTTAAACCCATAACTCGCTCCGCGTACAAATCTTTTCTTTTTTGTATATCTATACATTTCAGAGCCCTGTGATTTTGAAAAACACATTTTTAGCCAGTGGTCTGCCTGTCTCAAGATTTTCTCAAGAACGACTGAACCGATTTTGTTGTTTCTTTTTTAATTTTGTAGGGTTTTGACTACATTTTATATATATATATATATATATATATATATATATATATATATATATATATACATATATATTCGGTTATGAAGATCTTTGACCGCAAGTTTGGTCTCTTAGACCACATCCCGATTCCCGATTTAAAGTACGGGCTAGGGTCATCAATCCTACCCCTGGTCGGTGTGAGTTGTCTCCAGTAGGCTGACGGGCCTCACATACCCGAGGGGAAGGAATCTCTGGCAGCGTGGCTTTCCTTGGTGGACGGTCCCCCTTGCAAGTGCTACCCACGCTCGGCGTATGTAATATATATATATATATATATATATATATATATATATATATATATATATATATATATATATACCGTAAGTAGCGGACAAAATTTAAGGAGGTAATAGCAGACCTCAAGAGCTACAAAAAAGTTTAATAATTGGTTGATTTTCTACAAAAAAAGTAGGAAATTCAAGTATCATGTTTTTTGTTAAAGTGTATGATGAATTAACGTAGGTGTTATCAGAGTGCTCCATCTTGTGTCCATAATTCCATCAAAATTATCTTTCAAGAGCTCAATAACACCACGACATTCATGATCCATGACCTTCCAATAGGAAACCGGTGTACGTCGGATAGTCATCTCCCACCTAATGCCTCTATATGTGGGAGCTGTCGTTCGGAACGATCCTTTCGTTATGTCTTTTATCGATTGTCTTATCGTGATAGATGGGTCTGTCAAACGGTTGTCCCCAATATATCGATATACATATGCATACAATCGAAGATATAAATTTAAGAAACGCTTGTTTCCATTAGTGCGGTTTCCTCTTCGAGCAGTGTTTACGCCGTTTTAGTTTTTGTAAAACGTCGGAATCAGAAAATATATATCTGTTTCGAAGTGTGGCCGTGAAAAGAAGCCCGCCGTACTTTAGTGTATACCTTCTTATTGCTGTGTCTTAAGGATAAAATTTAAAACAAAGCATTATTAGAATATTCATAAATAAATCATTTTTTTTTTGTATATTACAATCTGTCACATTTAAGGACAATAGTAATAGTGATAAAGAGTAGCTCATTCATACTATGCACAATAAATAAACAGCAATATAATAATACTAAAATTAAATGTATATAAACTAAAAGATACTAAACTAAACAAAAATAAACTAATCTAACAAAATAACTACTTAAATACACACATGCTTTTATACAATATTTAAAATATTCATGCACTAACGGTCTCCGAGCCAAGTCTCTTCCCTTGCTAGTGGAGAGAAAGCCAGGACTTTAGGAGATCCCAGCGTCTTTCACTCAACTGCATCATTGCTATTATCAATGGAGGCAGAAACACTATAACCAGACATACAAGGCTTGAGTGGAAAATTTGGCCATTGCCAGCACTCCAGTATATTCTTACAACAGGTCATTGCCGCTTCAACCTTCGAGGAGAATTGTAGGGATAAGTAGAGCTAGAAAGAGATTGTGCAATTGGATTTGGATGATATATAAGGTTTTGATGAAATTTGGAAAATTTTTGAGGGATACGGTCTAGGACAAATGGGATATTACGGTCTTGGTGTAGGTTTTGGTTGGTTATATAGAACGGAGCATAAACTATTGTTCGAACGACTTTGGACTGAAATTGAATGTGTTTGATGAAGATATCGGAATGAGAAGGGATGTCAGTGTTAAAGACGATGTAAAGCATAAATATCGGAAAATGCGTATTCGAAAGGAGCGATCAGAGAGATAGGATCGAAGGATTAGGTATAAGGACTGAGGGAGATGGATTTTAATGGAATCAAAGAAAACAGCATATCTCCTTGGCCAGCCCAAGTTGTAATTGTGTCCTCTCCGAATCACTGCTGACAAATAGTTGCTGATTATTCAGAAACAATCAATAGGTACACTAGATCGGATGAATTGGCATTTTGTGGATTTTCACATTATTCACAGTTTATACCTTTCCTCTCCCCCGTATTGACGATATTTTAAACCGAATTGCAAAGCACCAAATTTCCAGTCAAATCTATTTTAAGAAAGCATATCACATACCTTAAGCATATTCCTGAGGAGAATACACCGTACATTGCGTTTAAAGCTGACGGGAAATCATACCATTTAATCATATGCCCTTTGGAGTCAGATAAGATGTTATGATTTTAGCGTACATTAGTCTCCATTTTGAAAAGTGATAACGTGTTAGGGATCGAAGTTTATTAGAATGAATTGGCATTTTGTGGATTTCCACATTATTCACAGTTGATACCTATGTTAATTATAAAAATACAAGTCGGAATTCCGTTCCCATTATCTAAAGAAACTGTCAAAATGACCCGCCCCCACCTCATCACTCAGGTCGCACCACCCAGATGCCTGGCATAATATTGCTATAGTACACCAGCATTGCTATAATATACCAGCATTGCTATAATATACCAACATTGCTATAATATACCAGCATTGCTATAATATACCAGCATTGCTATAATATACCAACATTGCTATAATATACCAACATTGCTATTATATACCAGCATTGCTATAATATACCAACATTGCTATAATACACCAGCATTGCTATAATATACCAGCATTGCTATAATATACCAACATTGCTATAATATACCAGCATTGCTATAATATACCAGCATTGCTATAATATACCAACATTGCTATAATATACCAACATTGCTATTATATACCAGCATTGCTATAATATACCAACATTGCTATAATACACCAGCATTGCTATAATATACCAGCATTGCTATAATATACCAACATTGCTATAATACACCAGCATTGCTATAATATACCAGCATTGCTATAATATACCAACATTGCTATAATATACCAGCATTGCTATAATATACCAACATTGCTATAATATCCCGTCCATAGCTCACATTTTCCTACATTTCCTTTAGGGATATCACAAAACATATCAATAGCCTTGGTAAACGTCAGCAATAGATCTGACAAAATAATAGCATTTCTAACAAGTGTAAATTTAATAAAAGAATTATTATTATAATATTTTTTAATTATTTTTTTGACCTCGCGCGGGCTCATTACAGCGTATGGGGAGGGTCAGTGGAAATTCCTTGGAAGTTCCTCCCGGCTAAGTTCGACGGACTCGCTGACCAACAATGAGAGGGGTCCTGCAGACTTGCTGGAGGGTGTGACGTAGGATTGAACGCCCTAATCACATATCGTTAGCACCACCATACAAGTGGGCAGGGTGGCCGAATGAGCTAACTCATGTACACAGCAAGACCGTGCTGCAATCAAATGATATAAAAATAATCACGAGTTCGCGTCCCGGTGCCAAGGCATCTTTTAAATTCCTGCCCACACCCTCTGGCCCGGGAAAACCCCGTAGTATAGCCTTAACGGCCAGGAAGGGAAGGACAAAAAAAAAAAAAAAAAAAAAAAAAAAAAAAAAAAAAAAAAAAAAAAAAAAAAAAAAAAAAAAAACATGACCGCGATGATATAGACAAGTTATGGGTAGGTATCAGGGATAACATGATCTGGTCCTGTTAAGCGAAGACACGGAAACTATTAAACTAAAACGAAAACTTTAATGGAAGACTTAAAAGAACTAGGGCTCGAAATAAACACGGATAAGAAGATATGATTAGCTGCAAAAATTGCAATATTGCCGGTGATATCGATATAGAAGGTAATATTACATCAGTAAGGTAATTAAGGCGATTGTAATTTAAAAGAAAGTTGAATGTATTTTGAAACATTTATTCTTACTAATAATGAAAACATAAAAAATAAAATGATATCAATTTTACACTGGATAATAGATAAAATAAAATAATAACTTCTGAAATGAAAATAACGATAATCTTAATATGATGCTAATAAAGACAATTATGAAATATCTAATAAAATATTTCGATGTTTGATTATGGAAATTATATGTAAATTGCCTAAAATTACAATCAGTAATGAAAAAATTAACAAATATTTATTAATCCTAAAGTAAGAATTATACAAAACTAAACGAAAAACAAAACAATAAAAGTTGAACAAGTTTACGTGGTCGCAAGCAGGTGGCGGTCGTAGATATGGACGAACCGCTGGCACTCCAATCCTTCTTCAGCGACTGAAGGTAGGTTCGATATGAGCGCTCTTATAATTAAATCTGCAAATGGGCAGCGGCGAGCACGACGAGAGAAGTACGTCTCTTCAGAGTAGTACATCAGTGGGCAGTGTTGAAGTTGGCAGTACTCAGCTCAGTGGCGGGCCGAGTCAGACTGTCTATTGTCAATTCTACCGCCTTAGGGCTTGAACCGGGCACTTGTTTATAGCTAGGGCTACAATCGATAACAATTTAAATATAAACTATTGAACTATTGAATATAAACAAAATAAGCTATGGGCCTAAGAATATATACATATAATTATTAATTGGTTTCATTTTATGAGACAAACAAAATAACAATTAATAACCAAATTATTGCTGAAAATAAAAAATAAAATAAATTAACAATGTTACGAGATTATGTAATGTCACTTAATGACTTTTTGCAATAATCCGACGATCTATTTTATATTTATCGAAGGAAACAAACATAAAATAATGTTGTTTAGAAGAATCCATGGTGGTGCTTAATATAGTTTTCAAGAAAACAATCTTCACACGAGACGTGGATTGATTTTATTTTCCAATTGCATATTATGGACTACTCCGTGGCCATTTTGACAGGTATCGGTTTAAAGACAAAACACATGAGGACACACTGGCGATATTCCAAAGAGATAGGCTCTGACCACCAGATCTGTCTTAAAGTTGAATTACGCGCTCTATTTCTGCCACAAGTCCCTCTTTATTTAATACCTTCATTAGTTTTCCTGTCGCTCCCTAATTGTAATTCTGCGAATCCCGTTTATCTTTAGATGTCCCAAATAGAGACCAGAATTGCTTTAACTTGTTCATTTATAAAAATAATAGATAGTTTTAAGTGTTTTAGAAAGGAATTATAAGATATCGTTTATCATAAATGGTTTTAGTTCATTGCCAAGGTTAGTTCAGGAGTTCATTAATTACAGTGTCTCTAATTTATGATGTACAAATTGTATATGGCATCTTAAATTTTAATTCAAATCCATTGATAAATATATCTAGTTTTAATTAGTTTTTATTTTTAATATTTAAGATAAAATATGTGTGTATATATATATATATATATATATATATATATATATATATATATAGTTTGCTGACACAATGAGAAACACAAATGAAAATGAAAAGACTATTTTATTTAAAGAAATAAAAGAATATTTTTAATTTATTACACAATCGACATTCATTACGAATCTGATTTATTTACATAGATTTGTAATTCGTATATAAGTGCGACTCAAACATCTTATATAAGTGCAACTTTTTTGACAAGAGTTTATAGATTCAAAATGACAGATATCTTTTAAAAACGGTAAAAACTGTTCATCAACATGAGTATTGTTTTTAATGCATTTCAGGTTTTACCTCACCATTTATTTCATAATGTACTGAAATTCAAAACATTTAAATAATAAAACACTTAAATAAATAATTGAAATGTACTGTTCCTAGATTCTAAAATATACATGAGTGAAATGAAATTAATGTTGTAATTTTTATCTAGGCCTAAGCGAATTACTATTTTAACCAAAAATACCTTAGCAATAAAGATAAGCCTGCATATTATTGCTGAGCTTAGTAAAAACTAATTTCAATCATTGACTAGCTAGTCCAATAAGCTTATTATTACCAAGTTAAAATAAGACTTCGCGTCTAAAAGAAATCTTATCCTTTGTATGGCCAATTTTTTTATTTTATTTATTTAGAAATATAATAATCTGTCACGTGGACAATAATTATAGTGAGTTATGAACACATTCACACCATATATACAGAAACAATAAAATTAAAATAATAATCAAACAACTATGAAATGAAATGAAATATAATTTGAATCTGGTAATGAAGTCCCCTTAGAATAATAGTAGAGATTAAAAAATATGTACATTAGTCTGGCATGTAAGTATCATATCAATATACACAAAAAATACCTAGGAAATTGTAAATACACACATACATATATATGTATATATATAAATATACCCACAAAGATACTAAGGAAAATACAGATATATAAAAAAAAAATACAAAGGAAAATATAAATATCTACAAAACATACTAACGATAAACACAGATATATACAATAAATACTGAGATATATAAAAATTAATAAATAAAATTAAAATGACTTCTATCAAATAACTGCTGGTGATCAACGTAATAATATAAGCCAGAAACTTTTAGAAGCTTGCGGAAGTTTGAGTTCGTAGTAGGTGATGGAATAGGAATTGTTTGGAGGAGTTTCTGGACGTAGTTTGACATATGGAGATGGGTAAGGAGTTCCAGAAGGAGGTAGCACGAATGACGAAGGATTTACTGAAGGAAGTGTTTTGACGTATGGAGATGGGTAAGGAGTTCCAGAAGGAGGTAGCACGAATGACGAAGGATTTACTGAAGGAAGTGTTTTGACGTATGGAGATGGGTAAGGAGTTCCAGAAGGAGGTAGCACGAATGACGAAGGATTTACTGAAGGAAGTGGTTTGGCGTATGGAGATGGGTAAGGAGATCCAGAAGGAGGTAGCACGAATGACGAAGGATTTACTGAAGGAAGTGGTTTGATGTATGAAGATGGGTGAGGAGTTCCAGAAGGAGGTAGTGCGAATGACAAAGGATTTACTGAAGGAAGTGGTTTTATGGAAGGAGATATATAAATCTATAGATTTCATAAATTTTCTCGATACCAGATGATCTAGGCTCCAGGTCCACGAAAAATAAAGGTAGTGGAACTTCATTTTTTACTCCTGGCTGCTCCATATTTTCCTTCAAAACGTTGGTTACCTGACGCACTTTGAAACCAAGCGCCGCTAGTTCTTCTTTTATCAGTTCAGTTGGGGTTAAGGAGTGCAAATTTCTTATAACCACGCGTAACGATCTCTCCTGCCTAAGCTGGTACTTATGAAAATTTGCATTCGTTTCGGAACAGGTACTTCACTATTTTTCGGTAGTTTTCAGCAGTATCTGGTGTTATTTTTGTATCGTTGGTTC